TCCTAGACGCATTGCCTTTCTGCAATAATACATAAACATGCATTTCCCATTGGGGAAACCCATGTAGCAATTCAAGGCTGTTGCCAATATACAGCCAAATATACAGCCCTAATAATGGCAGAAGTGTCTAGCAGAAAAGAACATAGATGGGAATGAGTTGAAAGGACTTGCAGCTTCCAGTCCCTCCTTTTCACTGGTGCTCCCTATCCCACTGCTCAACAGCCCCTCCTATTAGTCTCCATTTCTCATCCCCTGTATGCAGCATTGGCATCATCCACGTTCCATGGACATCACCCATCCAGATTTCCTCCTGTTCCTGGGACTCCCGTATCACTCACACCAGACAACATACCTGTGCCCTAAGCCAGGAAGGAAAACCCAGATGAAGACAGCCCAGGAAGATGCAGGTCAGGAGTGATCAGGATCCACACCACAAAACTCCCAGCACGAAGAGTGAAACTCAGAGTTAGGCTATACCTGAACATACAGCTGAAATGTTCTTGTTATTCCTCAGTTCTTGCACCTGGGATACTGCTCAGGGAGCTGCCACAGCTGTTCTCCATCATATGCTTTCTAGGAACACCCTGCTCCCCAGGTTCTTGTCCCTCATTTACATGTGTGAATCCTCCAGCTACTAATGAATGCAAATGACCCTATGAAGCATGTCTGGGTAGTCTCACTTATCTATTTGTGCTGTTGCCAGGATGCAAGGGTCCCACAGAGAACCAGGCAGCTGGCAGAGCACCTTTAAGCTTGGCCAGAGGGATTCCCAGGGTGATGCTGAACATCAGCATGCTGACTCTTTCACCAGGCCTTCTCAGCACTGAAATCAGCTTTAGACTTTCTAAATGCTGCATTGTAAGTCACATATAGGCTTGGGTGACACCCCCCACCCCCACTTAGAGAAGCAGTTTCAACCAACTTTGTGTTTCCCAGCATTTTAGTAAGTGTACTATAGAGGCCACATTAATACAAGAGGTGAGTTATACTATACCACAACCCTGTTAGATACAGGAGGCAGTGTTTTGGACACACATCTAGAATATTTTCAGTATAGTAATAAAAGATTAGTCTCTAGTTTCCCTACTGTTTTCAGCAAGTTTCTTTGCTACAAGGCTACAGCAACAGCTATTTTTCCAATGAATCAATATACAGCATGAATGAAGAAAAAAAAGCAGTTCCTGGTGCCCTACACAGGCTCATTAGCAAATACACATGTGCAGCTGTGTTCAAGGGACTTTAGGCTTCCAATGTCTAGCTGTATCAACACTTGTTTAGTAAAGCATCGATGCTAACTGCTTTGCGTGTTACATCTGTCAAGCCCAAGTGCTCAACATGAGTAAGCAGGGGGTCCCTGTGGTATCACGCTGGTGTAAGGAGACCTTCAGGGCAAAGAGTGATTCTCCACATCCCGGGTACAGGCACAGCTGAATGGCTTCCCTCTTGGCTGCTCTCCAGGGGGATGGTAATGGGTCATCTGTGGCCCATCCTTGCTACTGCCACTTAATGCAGCCTCCCTCATTAGCTGGCAAAGTGAATCTCAGCTAAAAATCAGGTTTACATGGGCAGCGAAGGGAGGGCCACAGCATTTATTCTAGGTTGTATAGAAATAAAAAAAAATCAGAAATACACATTTCCAAAGCTTTTCCTCTTAGAAGCAAGCTAAGTTATTTTGAGAGTTTCAGTCAAAACAGACATTCCCCATCCATAATTGAATACAGGATTTGTGTTTACTGAGCTGCCCAAAGTGCTTTGTTCCTCACTGGCTGAGCACCAGCCGGCAGTAGCCCTTAGCTCTGTTCAAGCAGTCGCCTGGGAAAGCTACCGACCCTGTCTGCCCAGTCAGCCTGGGTCTCCAGTCACGTAAGATTTTGTGTAATGGACCACATGCAATACAAGTGAATTATTTACCATAATCATATTTACAAGGGGTCTGGCTCCCAGGAGAGAATGAAAGCCTGAATACTATATCAGAAATGTAATAAAGTGTAGTGTAGTTTATTGCGATTTTTTTTCCATTGCATTCAAAAAGTTTGGAGCCCAACAAAAAAACCTGTTTTGTTGGAGTCAGTGGGTGCAAGAAATACTCAAACGCTTCTGGTGAGAATCAGGAAAAAAATGTAACTAAGCAGAAGCAATGCTTACCAGTAGAAAGCCTCTCTGCTTGCAGCAGGCTCTACCAAGCCTCAAGCCGCTTCTCTCTCCTGCCATCTTGTTTGCTCCATTTCCATCACCGAAGGAGTGCTGCACCAGCAGCTCCACGCTGTTGGTTCATTAAGGCAGCAGGGGCTAGTTATAAATGTGTAACAAATGCTTTCACAGCTTGCCAGCAGGCAACGTGCGTGCTGTTTTTGAGCTGGTGCAGTGATGTTATGCCCGGTACAAAATGCCAGTAGCCTAGTGGAAAAAGGAAAACACTATGGAGGGTGGGCGTGGGGCAGTGTGGGCAGCAGGATCAAGGCTGGTGGCACAATGGTGGCAGGGCATCCAGCAGCCCCAACTGCAAAAGCAGGTGGCCAAAAGTTTCTCCTTCATCTGGAACTTAAACCTTACAGAAAATGTGAAAATGTATCTTTTTTGCTAGAGCCTTTGCTCATGATGCATGTGCAGCTTTGGAGGCAGGTCGGGTGCTGGTCACAGGAGGTACCCTGACATCCATGCTACAAGAAGTGAGGTAGGAGATCGTGCTTGTCGGCTTCATGAATCGCTATCTTTAAAAGGCAGTATGTTCTTGTGTGTTTAGGTGTGGGGGGGAATGCAGCCTATGATTCTTGGTCTGCAGCTGGTTGCCTGTTTCCCCAAAAAATTTTAATACATACTTTACTCAAACACATACTTGTATGGTTCAAGTCTGCTCTGGTTACGTTGAGACACTTTCTATTTCTTGGCTTTCCCTTCAAGTCTCAGTGTATCTCTGTCTTGCCAGCCACACTGGTCACAGTCCATTCAAATAAACATTTTTGGTTTTTCTCTACTTGCCCTGTTTCAGGTTTGTCTCCAGCATCATGTTCTATGGAAATTTCCATGAACCGATCTTGTGAGCCATACTAGAGCATGGTAGTGTCACCTTGGCTGGTCTGATGAATCTGCAGCACACTAAGTGCTAATGTTCAGGCACTGAATTTTCTCCTAGAGGTGGCTCCTGACAACACTTCCAGAATTCGGGGCTTAAAGCATCTTTCAGGTCACACTGGGGTGGTTGCTGAGCTTTGTTCAATGCCTCTGTGTAGCTTTTCAATACCTCACAGTATAAATATCTGAAATACAAGTTCCCATTCTCCTTAACAACCAAAGATTATGTGTGATGGGTGGGGGGAATGACACAGTAAATTAATCTGGCAGAACCCGAAGCCTTTATGATGATTTTTGAACAGTTAAAACTTTGTAAGAATAACAGCAACATCTGCAGGAGACAATGCAGATCTGGGAATTAAGAAGTTGTGTTTTCTGACCTCTGATTTGGTCATGACTTGGGGTTGGGAAACTACATTTGTCTAACATGGGGAATAACAACTATAACCTGTTCCCATGGGACATTGGGAGGACCTCTTTAATAATTAACTTGTGCATCAAATCTGTCACACTATCCATGAACAGTAAGTGCTCTAATTTATTCCAGGTATGGCTGGACATGAATACAAGTGAAATCTCTGGCAAGTTCAGACGCTTAACGTCTGAAAATCTTGCTTTGTGGTACAGATCTGGAGTTCAGGATTCATAAGGTAGGATGGATCTGTCCTTGAGCTGCTGAGATTTTAAGTGTGGCCATAACAACAATCCTTGCTTTTTCCCTTGAATGTTCTTAATAGTACTGAAGGGCAATCTAGGCCTCAGACAAGAGCAACGAAGACGTGTGTGCTAATTCTTAGCTGCCCATTTTGCTAAAGATGAGTAAGACTCACTTATTGCCCATGGAATGTTTTACTGTGGCAACAGATAATCCATTTTTTTAACGAATAAATGTTTAAATTGATGAAAACAGAGCCCTGCCAGCCATGACTATAATACATCCTGCCCACGGTAAATCCTCTTCTGGCACATGTGGGGAGAAGCTTGTTCAGAGGCATTTTCCTAAACCTTGGCAGGTCAGAAAAGAGACATTCAGCCTATAATAAAGAGTGAAACAAAACCCCATTGACTGGTCTTGTCCTTGCTTTGTTTTACCCCATCAGTGCAGAGACAGTGCACGAGCTTGGGATGACACCACAGTTCTGTGGGACGGCCCCTTCGCACACCTTCGTACAAACCTGATGGCAAGGGTGTGAAGAGAATGGTAGCTGGAACCCGGGCCTGGTGGCATCCAATGCCTGGGCTGCAGGCTGGCAGACTTCATTTCCCTCCCTTGTGGCAGCAATCTTAAGTAGTACAGTCTTGTCAGTTAAATTTTCTTAGCAACTGATGTTTTGCATCCATGCCCATTTTATAGTTTTACTTCTACATGGAGCTCACAGACTGATAGCAAGGATTGCATATACAGGTAAAACTCTGCCTGCTCTTTCTCATGACTGTTTTAGCCAGTGCACATGATCACTTAAAACAAATATCTGCATGAGAAAAGTTGAAAGTGAATCATAAAGGGAATAGCATAAAGGATATTTGACTTGCGAAGCAGTAGACAGGCTTTCTGAAACACTTAACGTGCACTTGCTACATTAACCCTTAGGCTATTAATCCTGTTGTTTCCACCTATCATTGTCCCGATATTATTTGGACATAGCCTCTGTTTTCAGAGATTCTTGGGAAGCCAAAAAAACATAATTTGCCCTTGAAAATCAGGAGTCATTATAATGAGCCCTTGCTTTGTATAGGTTACAAATGCATAGATTTTCTAAAGCAATGGACAGGGACAACTGACCTATTTAAACTGCAGAGAACAAATAAACCAAAAAGAAAGGATCCAACATCTACGATGGATTCTGTGAAAATCAGTTGTTACTGAAATAATGACTAGCCATTGTCAGAACTTCGTGGATCTTTTCTCATAGAAGGCAATAGACTGCTCAGTAAGTCCTTGAATATGTGACTTTGCCAGGTGGACTCCAGGGAGAAAGCACTTCATCCCCATGGACAGCCTGCAACTTCTTTTGCTTCTTCTCAAGCTGCTCTCTCCTCTCTTTCTTTACCTGAGAATAAAAAGATGCGTCAAAAAAAACCAAAAAAAAACCCCAAACAAAAAAAAACCCACAAAAAACCAACACCAACAGAAAAGTTACAATTATTTTTATACCTTTCTTGCGTAAAATGAAGAGTTAACATGCAATGGAGATGTGCCTTTTGGAGCTCAGCGTATCCCTTTTAGGGATTCAGTCACACACATTGCACAATGCAACATAAGAGGCTGCACATTTGATGTCATTTACAATTAAGGTGACTGTCTCAAGGATGGGCTGGTTTTGTGCACTATCTAAGCAAAAAGCCCAACAGAAGGCCTAGTGGATTACGTACTGTATTTGTCTTGTAAGTGTCATCTTAATTACTTATTTTCTTTAAGAGGATACCTAAATCACAATGCTAAATATGTTGTTCTCATTACATGAGACTATTGATGCAACTTCGTAACTTTCTGTACTCATTAAATCTCACTTGCCATGTACTAGAATAAACTGGGAATTAAACAATTTAATTATAAGCAAATATCTAACTCATATTATAAACACTGCAAGGTTGTGATTTTTTTTATTGTTTCAAACAGCAATGGGCAATTAGGATGATGAAGGATAAGCAAGATACTTGGAATATTCTTTTTGTGCCTGATTATTGATTTTCAAGAGACCTATAATTGAAAAAATAATTTGCAATTATTTATAATTATTTTTGAATTTTTATATTGTTCTATTCTATATAAAATAAGCATTCCTCTCTACAAAGATGACTGTCATTTCACCATTGTGAGGACCAGCATCTACGGGTGGATCTGCACTAGCAATTTAGTACACTGGAGCATTCTTTATAGGTGCAAATTTTCCCTGTATCATACTTGCAGGTTTGTGGTGCATGCTTGAGCACACCCCTTACTGACTTAAAGTAGTTTACCTCTTGGTGGAACCAAGGTTGACATTACAGACCAGAGCGTAACGTACAGTGCTCCACCTGACAGGTGGATAAAAGGTCCTTGAGCAGGTGGCTTTCTGGAACATGAACTGTGCATTCATTCCTCAGACCAACAACTGCCATACATGTCATTGGCAGCAAAGATGAAATGTGGATATGCAGGCTTAAAACCATCATCAATTGTGCCAAATCCAACCTTGGTCCTTTCCTCTTTTGCAGCCTATCAGCCAGTATTTTGAAGCACCATAAAAAGTTTCTTATTTTCACATTAACTGCATTGCAGTGGAAGTATTGCTCCTTGAAGACAGCTGTAAGGTAACTGGCACTCTCACACAACCCATGATCCTATCCCTCTGAGGGACACTGTATATCCTTCAAATTCCCAAGATCCTAGCAGTGTTTGCATCTTATTCATAAGCAAGAATAGAAATAGTGAGGTAACTGTGTCTAAGAGAGTAGACTGGTAAATGGGGGTAGAAGCGTTACTGTAAAAAAAGACAGCTTGAGTGGAAGCTTTCTCTTGTTTTACAAGTGTGCAGCAGTCAGACTGTACCAATGCTAGTTATACATGTGATATGTATAAAAATTTTTAAAAGTATAATGTGCGCTGAAACATCAACCCTATCAATATGATTTTAATCTGTGTCCTTTAGGTCTTTGTTAATATAAATCTGAAGGTCTAATTCAGTTAGGAATGCCTGCTCTGGCTACATAAACACACAATTATTTCATGTTGGTACTAGTAAAGCTGATTAAAAGCAAGGCAAGGTTTGCATGGAGAAGTAATGTCCTTTACTAAAACAAGCGATAAAACAGTTCATCACAGTTAGTCTAATAAAAAATATTATGTCTCCGTCCACACTGTATCTTTCTGGATTATATGGAGTAATTGAGACAAACTGGGCTTGTAGCACTGTAAGATTCTGACTCTTCTCTGTCATCCTACACTTTTGCCTTCTTTCTCCCTTCACAGAGACCTTCCTTGGATGAGCACAACTACTGGCTTTGGGTCTTTAGAAAAAGTTTGAGATTTTTTTTTTCAGGAATTCTTAAAGCAAACTGTTTAGTACCCTAAGGGGAAAGAAGTCTGCATTATCGGTGATATTTTTCAAAAAAAGACGACAAGCTATGTGCAAGCAGTACAGATGAGCTTGGGAAGAATGTGCTCTGTAAGGGAACACATATATGACTCATGTTCCTGTTCTGGAGTATTTGCACATATCCAGCCAATTTGCTTTTACAAAAAATTTAATCATATTCTACAAATCTTAGAATCTGGATCTGTATTTGACATTGAAAGACACATCAACTCATGTTAGGTTAATGTTTACCGCCTAAAATGGAGAACATAACACATCTAGGACACTCGCTTTTCTCTACAGAAAACAGGTATCAAGATTACTATCTCAAAAACAATTGAAACTAAACTGATCTGTCATTATGAATTTTCTACATGATTCTTCTCCACGTTATACTCCTCAGAATAGGTGCATGTCAATGACAAGTGTCAGACACTGGTATTAAGTAAAAAAATGGTCATTTATTAAGCAAAACATCTAGACTTGCTTGAAGAATACTTGGTGAGTAGCAAGAGGCAAATACTATGAAAGAAACAAAGAAATCAGAAGCTTAAATTTCCTCAGCAATACTAAAGTATCTCAGCTTAAGATTATCCTTTTTATGTAAGTATTTTACAAGAGTTAATAGCCTTTTTCAGGGCATTTATTTTCATGCTTAAAAAGTAATCTTTTCTATGCACTTATGTTATCAAACATTCACACAATGGCCTCTAAAAGTATAAGTAACAGAATTTCCATTAACATAAAAGCAGAATGTTTCTTGTATTTTAGAAGAACTCCAAGGAGATTTTTATGTCTGTTTTACCCATGCATTATGGTCAACACCTGATTCAGGAAAGCTGAGGATGAATTTACACATTTATTTCTGTTGAATGTTAATGAAAACATCAGAATACTTCCCACTATACTACTCCTATTTTATTTCCCTTCCAAAAAAAATGCTCTTACTGAAACAATACACTTAAAAGGTTTCCACAATTCTGCCCTCTCAGATTTGATGCCTGTTTATGTACCTGTAGGCAGATATCATCTTAGTTCCCTTGATAATACATGGACAACTTTACAGACATTTCTCTCCTGCACTTCAACAAAGGTGTGTATTTTCTTTATTACTACACAAAGTGAGATAATATTCTGGCCAAACATGATGACAAAGCCATTGCCTGACAGGCTTTCTCAAATAAAGGTCTGTTACCTGCAAAAACCAGCACAATTTCTGAAAGTAAAATTGTGAAGACTGGGCATGAGACACATCAGTCAACACTTGCACATAGACACTGAAAATGAGGTCATTTTAGAGGTACCTCTGCCAATCAATTCAGTACCTATGGCGTCTTCCAACACTTGCTTATTTTTCACACTGCTCCTCTCATGTCAGCACATGTCCATCCATTTAGATCTGGTCATTCCTCCAACTAATAAAACTGATATTAATAATCCCAGTGAAGTGAAGTGATGACCTCAGGAATTTACACACAATTTGAACAGGGGAGCCTGTGCTAGGCAGCATATTTCATTCCCCAAAAAAGGGATAACTTTTTTACCTTCATACTGAGTCCAAGATAGCAAGGAAGCCAAATGTACAATGATAGGTACCATTCATGCTTTGGTAAAACTACACTAATTGAGGATAGTCTCAGTAAGTGCAGCATAACCAGACAGAGCATTAGCTACTACTCAAAGCACAGTACTTCGTTCCTTGGGAACCAGGAATATTGACTAAGCAAGAAATAATCTAAGATCGGACATTAATCATTTGACAAAACTGAGCTGGAAATCACTTGACAAAGGGGACCAGAGAAAACACTTCTTACCAATGCTTACAGAAACCAGAGGTATTCCAACAGGGACCAGGTCAAAGAAGATCTTAAAAGACTTAAACCTAAGACTAAAAAGGTTTGAAAACAGAGAGAAGGGAAAACACTCAGGCTCTTGGTGTTTTACATAACTGCGTATTTCTGAGTTAGCCAAGTGAAGGAAGATTGTCCTTTTAAAGTCTGTCCTACACCTGTACATCTGCCTGCCTCAGTTCTCACCTAATACCCTCCCCTAAAAAAAAAAAAACAAACAGAAAGCCCACTTGAGACTCTGGAAAAGATTTTTTAAGCTATTGACAGTAAAAATGCATCCCTGCAAGGACCTTAAGCCAGCTGAGTTGCAAGATCCCATTCTTATAAATGGCAACAGAGACCATATGTAACAGGACACATGCCAGAAATCACAAGGAAGAAAGATAACAGAAGAAACACTCTTAAATTAAGACAATCTTGAAAGTCAGTACGATGAATGACCGTGTTACAGGGTGAGGATGAAAAACGCATGTTTTTCTTCAACTAGCAAGTCACGAGTCTTTAAGAAAACAATATATGCTAAGAATATTAGTGATCTCTTGCAGTTTGTCTTTCTGTAGCAAAGAAAAAAAAAAGCCTTATTGCTGGGCCTAGAGTACTAGATTAGTTTACTGCTTAACAACTGTGACTAAAGTACACTGTTGTAGGAAAAACATAATTGGGCATATCAGGGTTCCACCCTTTCTAGTAAATGGAAATATTCTCAAACCTCATTACAAGTGCTTTTATCAATTTTAAGGTATACAAGTCACCACTTTAATGCTTCCTTGAATGTATATGCACTCACTATTGCAGCTGGTGATGCTGCTTGGCTTTGCAGGTTTTGTGCTTTTGTGAGCTGGCCCTTCAGGACGGTTGCTCCTTCCATGGGATGTCAAATAATGAAGACTAACTATAAAATTCAAAACTGTATGACATGTAGATAGGGAAAATATATTTTCCATGTATGTCAAATATCAAGCCCACCATATTTTATCATCATTTTGCTCAAGAATTTTGGGGGATTAGCTATGTAATGCTGCCATCATCTGGCCTCTCCCATAACAGCGTGAAAACCATGAGTATTACAATACAAGAGTGTTCATGCTCATTAATACATTAATCTTCTTGGTTTCAACAAAGTGAAAAAAAAAAATATACCAGCCATCTTTCGTATTCTTCCATAGCCTTTTTATTTTTTTCTTCCTTCTTTGCTTGTTGTATTTCTTGCTTTCTTCTCTCTAGGATTTTTTCTGCTTTCTTCTGGTTTATATATCCTTCCTTTTTTTTATTCCTGTATAGTGACAGGGAAGAACAGGAGATCATCATGTAACAGACTAAATACTGCATCTGTAACCGATTAACTAAATTAAGTCAAAAAAGATATTTTATGCATTTAATAAAAGACTGAGAATATATATTTAAAATCTTTAGAGTCCATCTTTATATATTATATCACCAAGGTATAAATGACTCTACTATTCTACCTATTATGGCATCACCTTTTCTGTACTACTTTCTCCCTTATTTGGTATCATATAAAAAATTAGATTCAGAACTTCTGTGGGTAATAGTAACTTGCACACCGTCTGTGAAAACTCTTGGCTTGCAAAACTAACAAAGAATTTCGCCAGCAGACACATCTCATTTGCTTCCTATTACATCTACATTCATACACTGTATTCCATAAAACTTTAAGATAAATTTACCTTCCTTCCTACGGCTTAGTAATGAAACTTGAGATGAATAACATATGATATTATACTACTCAATGAATGTTACTTCTCAGTTGCAGTCTCTCTGCCTGGGCTTAGTCAGTAGCCTTTTGAGGAGGAAAGCATTTAAGTTACTAAACTGAAAGAAGCTGTACAGATTGTTCTCATTGTTATACTTGTTCTCCATTGGGACTGAAGACTCTGATCCCAAGCATGCCACTGTCTCCTAATTAAAAGCACATCAAGCACTCACAGAAGACCTATTGCATTTATAAGCAAAGATTTGGGAAACTATGATATTCCAAAACCCAGTGAAGTAGTACCATCTTTCAACTGCTGACACACTGTCTCTCTTCTTCTCTGCAACCAGTTCCTCTTCTTTCTTCTTCCTAATTCTTTCAGACCGTTTTTCCTTTCTGCTTTGCTCTCTTAAATATTCCACTTTTCTTTCTTTCCATTTTTCGAACGCCTAAAGAAAACCACAGATTCATTAGAAATCTTACCCCTCACCTTTTTGTCAATACTCCACTTCCTTATTCCACATTATTATTTTTTGTAATTTCTACACATTCCAATTTTGGAATATTCGTTTGTAACACTGCTCGGAAGTGTTTATCATTCTACCTAAAAAGAATAAATTACTTTTCCCAGTAAGTAATAGTTCATTGCCAATGTATTTATATGCAGTTTATTTTATGTTCAGTTAATAGAATCCAAATATGGAAGAATGCCTGTTCATATGCAAATGTAAACATTACATACTTCCAACAAAACAGAATCTAGTTTGTTTCCATCTCTTGCTGGATTAACCAAAATTATTCTCAACAATCTCCTGAACCATATCCGTAGACATGGCCTATAGACATTTATTTACATATTTCACATCACCTTCTGTGCTGCTTCTGTTTTCTCCTTATTCTGTTCTGCTGCTTTCTTTTTCTTAAGTTCCTCAAGCTTTTTTTTTTCACTTAACTTCTTTGCTTCTCTTCCTTTCTTTTTTTTCCAGGCTTCAAAAGATGCAATTGCTTCCTGTCTTTTAACAGCTTCTTCCTAGATCAAAAATAAAAGTCCATATTTAAATACAATTAACTATAATTGAAATAGTATGGTTTAAACGCATTGTCAAATGTAGGATTAGATGGAGCGATAAAGAAATGGAAACTGATTTGCAGACAACATTCCAAGTAATACTCAAAACTAAATTTGAACTATATAAAGTATTTTTTTCTATGCTCATTTTCAATTTAACTTAACCAAATGAGACAAAAATATTCCTGCAAAATACGTGTAGAATAATACAAAATACATGTTAAATACTTAGAAGCAAAACATATTAAATACTTCAAAGTCAAATCTAAGATTTATGTATGGTACTATTCAAAACACAGTCCTCTGTAGATAAGCATCTCTTGAGACAAGGAACAAACTCATTTTCTAATAGACGACAAATTAAAACTTAATGCCTGAAGGGCTGAGCATCCCAAAGTCTTTGTAAACAAACCTGAAAATCCATTTAAGAAGCATGCTTTTAACATACCTTACAGAAATGTATAGGGAAGCAACAGCCACACACCCTTTACGGCAACCATAGCAAGTGGGACATGCCATTTACTGTTTCAACTCACCTTCTGCTATTTAGAGAGAACCAGACACCTTAGAATAGCAGTGTGATGTAATTAGGCAGAAAGCACATGTAAGCATACTTCAAAGAATTATAGTTTGTCAACTTCTTTTTAAACAAGAATGTAAACAAACCTCTTCAGTACTGTTCCTTAGATTTTCAGCTTTCTTCTTTTCAATTCTCTTTAATTCCAGTAGAAAGACCCTTTTCTTTTCCAACCAATTCTGTAAGAATCATTAGAAGACTTTCATACTTTTAAAATCTTTCTAAGGTATAACTAAAAAAGTTCTGTTAAAACAATCAAGTATTATTAGAGCGGCATAATGACCACCAAAATTACTCTTAATTCTTCCATGTGCTACTTAAGTACCTAGCCCATGTGGAAGACTAAGCCGTGATCATAGAAACATTGTGATCAAAAAAGTCTAAGGTTCTGAATTCACAGCTACAAAATATGAAAAATCTTAAGGATCTTTAAAAAAAAAAAATCTTAAAAAAAAAAACACTGCCAAAAAATGTAAGCATTAAAAAAATGAAAAAGAATGGAATAAAGATTCTTATCACTTGGTATATAGGAATATTATTTACATTTATTGTCTCTCTTGCAAACACCTGTAATTAAAGAGAATAAAATCCAACTGGGAAGAGTGAGACTTCAGGCATCCATAAAGCGTTATGAGCCACTTGCAGAATCAGGCTTACATTTTCAAGGTTTAACTATGTATTTGGTATGCTGCTTAGCAATACAAGTGTCCTAAATGAAGCCTATTTTACCTTTAAAAATTATGGAGACAATATAAACATGGATTTGAGGTTCTAATTTTTGTTCTAGAACCATAACAAGTATTGAAAACACATACCAATATGAACAGCATCTGTTAATGAAAGTTTTTCCTCATACAGATTAATAGCAAAAATCTGTTGGAACCCACAAACTAATCGTTATGAAAATCTACACAGAATCCACATAGATTATCCTTCTAGAGAGAATACTAGACTTGTTTTCACTTTTCCTGAATGCCAACTGAACAGAATATATCAGGAAAAGAAACTTTAAACTACACACTTACTTACGTTAAGGAAGAAGTAGAAATAAAGGAAAATAGTGTATGTGTCTAAAACTAGTCTGACACAATAAATTATGAACCATGGTATGTCCCTCTCATCTAGCTTTTTAGTTCATAATTTGATGAAAAGGCATAGCCAACAGAATGAAAGGATTCTTACATCTGTAAGTATATGCAAGGAATACACTAAGAAATATTGATTTCAAGAAAATAAGAGGTGTTGACTCCTATAACAGGATCTTTATATGCATAGTTTTGTTTGTTGGTTGTTTTGTTTGGGTTTTGTTTGTTTGTTTTTAAGATCTACCTGGAAGACAGCTGCTCGTAAACTATCTGCTTTGTCAAATTCTGTACTGTTCTTCTGCACGTGTTTATCCTCCAACACCTTTAATGTTCCCAGATATTGAGATGAAACAGGTGTAGCTGATGGAACAGCTTTCGTCTTTTTCTTTAAGTGCGCAGAAGACAGAGACCTATAAAAATACCAGGACACAAACATATTAACAATCTTTCCATTTATTGTAGCTGATACCAAGCAGTGTTCCTTTTATTTCAGTGCATACAAAAACTTACTGTGATTCTGTTTGTAGAGGCACTTGGCTGGGGATAGGGGAAAAGGAAAGGAGGAAGGAGCCCATTTTCTTCCGAGGGCTTTATTATTGCCAAAACAAGCCACTGCTAAAAATATCCATCCCAAAAAAGTTTACAAATTCCTTACACTTTCATTGACAAAACAGCTTAAAACCTGCAAAGACATCATGGACTGGATTCATTGGTGGATCCAGTAGCACACATTCATCATAGGCACTGGCAAAAGACTTGGAGTCTGATCTGATATAATACTGAGCAAGGGTTATAATAACATACCACATCTACTAAACTGTTTTCCACAGATGGTCAGAGGCTGTCAGCAGTGAACACAATGCTGACAGAAAACAAGAGTGAAGCAGCATTGTTGGGGCACTTACATGCATCTTACATTCTGCAGACTGTGATACATAGCATCTTTCTCTTACCTGTCAAATAAAGAAGCTTTCGGGTTTTGTGGAGTGCTCTCCTTTTTTTCACTTAGTTTCTAAGAAACACAGAGGAAAAGTAAAATTATAGAGTCTCTCAAGCAACAAAACTAGATCAGGATGAAATAGATTTTTATAAGCTAACAAGGATGCCGGGAGTTGGACTTAAAACTAGATCAGGATGAAATAGATTTTTACAAGCTAACAAGGATGCCGGGAGTTGGACTCGATGGTCCTTATGGGTCCTTTCCAACTCAAGATATTCTGTGATTCTATGATGTTAGAAAAATACGCAAGAAAGACACTCTAATATAGAAAGGGTACAGGGTAAGAAAGTAAAAAAAAAAAAGGAAAAAACAAATCAAACAAACTAACTTTCAGAATGCTTGTTATCTTTTTAGATCGGCACCTAGAAATGTTTCTTTGTATTATATAAAAATATGGTCTATGGTTCAGAAATACAAAGGAATAAAAAGAACCCAGCCAGGCAGTGGATTTCCCTGTTATCGTATCAACCCTCTTCTAACTATTTTTAATATTTAGCTTTAGTAATTACATATATCTACATATTTTCTTTCTTATGACAAACTGCTTTGCATCTTATCCATTATAAAAGTCACACCGTGGATTTCATCCTCTGCCAACAAACACTGCTCATTCCAATTCAGCTAACCTCACAACAGAGATTTGACACTTTCACTTGGATAAGGGTATTTCCTTAAGATTGGAAAACACACATTTCAATACCTTTATCTGGTTTAAATGATTTGTGTAAAAGGTATTCCCTACATCTTCCATAAAACTATACAGAACTTGTAAGAGCCTCAGCTCTAGAAGCCAGAAATAAAGTGTCAGCTTTACAAACACAGTTCTACGCATTTAAGGTACCAACAGTAACTTTACAAAACTTTTCACCACATTTCTAGGACATTGTTCTAAACAATGGTAAAAAAAGGATATGAATAATACCTTGACAGAGTCCTTTGAAGTGTTGTTCGCCTCCCCATGCTCAGATTGAACATTCTCAGCTCTAGAAGCCAGAAATAAAGTGTCAGCTTTACAAACACAGTTCTACGCATTTAAGGTACCAACAGTAACTTTACAAAACTTTTCACCACATTTCTAGGACATTGTTCTAAACAATGGTAAAAAAAGGATATGAATAATACCTTGACAGAGTCCTTTGAAGTGTTGTTCGCCTCCCCATGCTCAGATTGAACATTCACTGATCCCTCCTGTATTGCATCAGTTACTATTTGCCCTTCCACTATTTTCACCGTTTCATCTGAACTGTCATCTGTTGACTTCTCTAATTTCTTTGTTTTCTCATATTCTGTGGTCATCATTACTTCTGTCACAGAAGGGGATTTTCTACTATTGTCCTCCAGTTTCAAGTCACTGGTGCTGATCTTCTGATCTTGATCTAATGGGAGAAAAAAGATTGAGAGGACATATTAACAAGAATTTCATTGTTTCTGAGTATTGTTATTTCTGCACTAAAAACATGTGCTTATGAAACATATTACTAAATTTATTATAATATAATGTATACTTACATTACAATATATTGTATACTTCCTTCTAAGAACTATATTGACTAATAAGAAGAGTATTCACTTGTATTGTATTTAAACAAAGAATGGAGGCGCAGCTGAAGTTTTAACAAATGTAACAGAATGTGAAAGCATGACAAAGGCAAAACTTCCCATCTGCCTTGCTACCCAAACATGGTTCTGGTGCAGAAACCAAAAGCAAGAGCCATTGCAATCACAGCAAGATCTCTTCTGACACCTAGCAAACTACTAAGGAAGTCTGTACAACAATTTGGGTAACAAAAACTACTTTCATTTGTGTGGTGTTTTTCAGGGATGTGGGACATACAAGGAAGTAATGGTAAGATTCTGCAGTAGGGATTTAAACAAAATGTCACCCCAATTTAAATGTATGCCTAAGTGGTGAAATTGTCATTTACGAAACAGTTTATTAATAATACTTTAAAAATATTTTTATCAGATCTGAACTACCATTAATGTAGAGATCTAAATTTGTAAAATCACTCAGACACAAACCAAGAAAGGCCACGGTAAATTCCAAATTACAGTCTTGCACAATTTTCTGATGGAATTCTTAAAAGAAATAGAAGTTGTGGACGACACATTAACTCCAAGTTACCCGAAGAAAGAAATATCAATGTTGACAATCTAAGAAATTTAACCTAGATTTACAATGATGCAGGCAAGTTCGAGGTGACAAGGAGAATTCTGAATTTATATGAACCATTTTCTATCCTCTGTTGATATGTAAACTTTCATATTTTACTTTACACGTACTAGATAGTACAACTGTCTATAAACTGTAGGCATCAGAAACTGTTCAACTGTAACTAAGCTGCAGCACAACTGTAATTAAGCTGCAGTACTTACTGCACAGGACACTGGCGACAGCAGATTTACTATGAGCACTGTGTAGCATGAACCTCATAGAACTTCACATGCAAGTCAGTCTGGCTCTGTTTGCAAAACTGATACCAAATACTAACCTTCCCATGGTTAGCTGAGAAATGCCACAGAAAACCTGTAAGTATTATTGCAGTTTCTTTCTTGACAGTTCAAGCTATACAAGTTTGATCAGTCTGCTCTAAATTCTTACCCCTGCACACTTCAGTATCATATTTAAACAGTCTTTTCCAATCCCCTTCCCTCCACTTTTGTTGAAAACTCCGTATCATTGCTGTTTCTACGTCCTCCTTTGTCCTGACACCACCACCTTTATCATTCTCTTCCTCTTATGCTGTCCCTGCACTTCAAGAATCTACTCATTCCAGTACACTAATGCTCATATCCTTTTCCCCACACAAACTCTCCTTAGACATTGTTTCTTTAATAATGCTTAAAAACATCAAGGTATACCAAACACATTTTCTAATCCAGGGTATCAGCAAAATATAAAAAAGAACTGAAATTAAACACAGATATAAGCATATTTGTTATTTACTACTCAGTACATTGCCTGTGTTTTCAACTTTTGTTCACCTTTCTGCACTAAATTCTTCAAGCCAAGCCTTATCGTTTATCTCATTAGGCAGCAGCATATAGACATTACACAGGCCATACAGACAACATTCTTCTTGCTGCATCTGACAGCCTATGTTACCTTCCTGTTACAGTCCTGCACACAGCAAATTAGCCCCCAGCATGAGTCCCTTAGCAAATTAAAAAAGGTGTCCAATAGCCTATTCCAGCACTTTTTCAACCTGGGCTCCATGGATTTTTTGTAACCAGTCTGAAAAAGGAGACTAAGAAAGGTAAGTTCAATGGATACTGCTGAGAAGCCCACAGATTTCATATTTCTCAAAGGGTCTGCACATTCCCTAAGAACTGTTAGGGCTTCACAAATCCAAAAAAATAGAAAAGTTCTACTCAGTTTGTATTAAACTTTGTGGAAAAGGTGCAGGAAGAAGTGAAAGGCTCACCCTAATCATGTTGACTGCAAAAGAGAAAATGAAATCAAAATGACTTGTTTAATGTCTCAAAGACGCTTAGACCATGATGCATACACTTGATATAAATCAAAATACAAAACCTAAATTCTCAGACTTTAATCTGTTCCTCTCCATTCCTTGGATGCCTCTAGGGCCAAATGTCTCAATAGCTGGGATGATACTGTACTCGGGACATAACTGCAAGAATGAGGCTGGGCCATTCTCAAAACCAGAACAGAGACATAAGGGCATGAGAAAGATACCGAAAGAGAGTAGAAAGGAAATCAAGAACATCACTGATTTTAAGAAGACTTGTATTGGACCATTAGATATTACTAAGGTATAAATGGTAACATTTATCTGGTTGTACACATCTAAGTTCTACCTTTTACAGGTGGTGGTGCTTCTCCACACATCAGTAAATCGGAGTCTCCAGATCTTTCGTTGTGGGAAGCAAAATTAATGGAAAATGGTGGTGAAGTACTTTCTAGCCATGGACCCTTAGATCAGAAAGTGACAAATAAACAATTGAGTAATTCATAAGAAATCAGTATAATTTAACTTGACTTTATAATACTTTGACAGAACATTTGTCCAGAACTCTCTACGAGAAGTATAATTCTTGTTTTGCATTTGGAGAAATAAAACCAATTAGCACATAAGGCTGCAAACTATCACAAAACCCTCTTTCTAGTTAGAAAGAAAAAGAATGATGTTCTCTTATCGGGCCCTCATCATAAGAATGCTATTGGCAAAGACATTTTTTCCCACTTCCATTTTCATCCTATTTTTCTCCCAGAAAATGTTATCAGCTAAATAAAAGTTAGTTTCTAAAGTTCTCAATGTAGATGGTAAAAAATCAACACATCTTACTTCAGGGCCAGGGCTTTTTTCCTTGGGTATGGCTTGGGCATTCAGAGTAGTTAGGGATGATGCTGCTGAAAATGAAGAAAATCCGTTTCTAGAAGCTATTTTTTCTTCTGACCTATTAAGCTCATGATCTTCCACAGGACCACTTTTTCTCAACATACTTCTTGGTTGAGGTGACGGTTTATAACAGCTATCTAATGAAGGAATGCTGATATTCTCAGCTGAAAATAAATATTATAGTTTCAGTTATATCCAGTTAAAGACATTTTAGTCTGGAATACTATTTTGTCAAGATATCTTCAACTAATCATTTCCAGTTAAATGAGCTATTTAAATAATAGCACAGCTTTCTTAACACAGCGAGGCCATATACAAACAACTACCTAAAGAAGTACAGCCACTTTTTCCAGAAAGTTTAATTAAAGTTTTAAAGCTTCTCATATAATCTCTATATAGACAATCTACAACTTTATTTTTTCCATTTATCATTCTCTCTGTATATACTGAAATTACACTCAAGGGCTTATCTGCAATTAGAGACACAGACATAAATATAGAAGAGAGCACATATCTAACACAGCACTGTTGTAAAAAAACCTTTTTGCTATTCTGTTTGTCCAGTTATCTTCTAGCTAACATACAAAGGCAAGACTGCTTCTCTCTGCATGGTGCAGAACAGAACAACCCTGGGTAAGAGGAGACATTGTGAGAAATGCAGTCGAAGAGGAGGACTCTCAGTATATTTCTAGCTTCTTCAGTTCCCTTCCCCTTTCTGTGGCAGCAGAACCACCACACAGCTGTTCCTTACACATTTCTATCCTCTGGCTCCTCACCCTCCTTCTGTTTAGTAATCCTATCTTCTTCATGTTTTCTTCCCCCTGCCCTGCCACCAAAATCAAGCCACACAATGGCTTTCTACCTGTCTTTTTCATCCACATAGAAATGCTTATCTAAGTATGCACATTGCCACAGGAGCATTTCTTATTAAGTTCTAGTTCATACAAATCTGTTGCAGGAAATGGGAGAATCACCATGCCTATGCAGCACACTCAGCTGTGTAAAGTCTAATTATATAATTAGTGTGAAGTTTAGAGAGCTAACAACAATATTCCTACAAGTGCACAGACAGTTTTTCCATGCAGTAAATCACAAGAAAAATCAAAGCAGCACAAAAAGCTGATTAGTCTCTGGATAGTCACCTACTCTGATGGACAGAGATCAATTTATCTAATATCAGAAAATTAACAATGGTTGACTATTGAAGACAATATGCTAATATCACTGTACTACTTAGATTCACATGAAGGAAAGGAGTACTTCACCATTTTTCTAACAGTCTCAAACTACTGTGGCATACTGGCCAGGAAAGAGATAGATCTGCAGTGCCCATCTGCACCTTCAAGTATCTAGCACTTTGGTGCCTTCATGTGGAAATCAAAGAGCGAGCCGGTATCACTAATCGTGCTCTACCAATTCCAAAGCTGTAATCTTCCACCACAGGTAAGGACCAGCCATAAATTTCTCTCAACATCAAACAGGACACATTCTTCTCATATTAGGAAGTAGATAAAAAATACGAAGTTTGTAAAAGTACATATAGTCAATTAGCCGAATTCCAAGTTCTGCTTTGCATATTAAAAATGAATTAGCTATTCTTATAATGAAACATTAAAGTTCATTTTTTTATGTGTTTAACTATACATCCAAAGTGGCTCAGTATCTTCAAAGTAAAAGATCATTTGAAGTTTTAACTTTGTGATGATGATAAATCTACCATTCGTATATGTTTTGGTGACAGCTAATTTTCTGACATTGTTACATTACAGCATCATGATGTCTCAGCATCACGACTTCAACGTTGTATTTGCGAACAGTGTGGTCCAACTTCACTGGTCATAGAGAAGGGATGCCTGTTTAAGGACCTTTCCATTAAAGGGGGCATGGATGTGGTGGACACTATATGAATATGGTTTTATGTGCTATACATACACAGATCAGGCAACTCTGTAGCCCTCCCGCATCTTCCATGGACGTGCACTGATGGAGAGCTGCACTTTAAGCACTCAAATAGCTGGTTTTCATCTCCTGAAAGGAAAAGGCAAATAGCAACGTCCTGATACTTGGCCCACACTGGTTCAGTTTACCCTCTGGCAGCTAGAAGTTATCAAAACCTGTATTTTTAGAAGAATACTGAATAAATTCCCTGCAAGCCAAAGCAGCTGATATTTAACACAGAAAATAACCCAAATTACAACACTTTAAAATACTGTAATATAGCTAAGCAAGCAGCAGCAACAACATTCAAATGCTTTCTTTTCACCTGATGCTGAAGCATTTCTTGTTTTGTGGACCCATAGTTTTGGTATTGGTTTGTCTTCCTCTTGATTTCTTTTTTTCTGTAGTTCATGAATAGGCAAGTCATTACAGTGGTCACTTTCACTATTATCACATGGTACTTCAGCAGCTGAACACTCTTCATTACTTTTTCTGTCATTACCCTCATTTTGACTTTCCAAACATTCTTCTTCACCATCTTTTCTGTCATCCTGTATGTTTTCACTTTCTAAAAGCATTATTTTCTGAGGCTTCTTTTCATGAAAGGATAAAGTCAAGTCATCAGCAGCTTCATTTTCCAAATCTGCTGCTTTTTGTGAAGCACCATCATCTGAGAGAGGATTCTCAACAGCAACTGATTTCTTAGTGCTTTCAGCACCTGAATTACTTTCATTAAGTTCTTCCCCAATACCTGAAAATAGCACATTATCAACTTCTATTTGAGATAAGTGGAAAAAAAATGGGACACAGAAACTACATCATCTATAATTTAAAAGTATTTTTCATATAACACTCTCCTGACTTAAGTCTCTGAGCATTTCTCTTTCTGCACCTCTGATATTTGCAAAGCCACCAAACTAGATTCTTATTCTACTCCCTTTCCTGTCATCTGTTTCCATGCACCCAATCCAAAGAAAATACTTCAATTATTCACTGGTCAATTCTTATCTGTCGTGCAATTTAAATCCCTTCTAAAAAACTATGTCTCCAATGCCATAAGAAGTGGATCCAAGTCAACAACAATAAAGCTAGGCATGTTTGGTTACCAGAATCCATCTTCCCCTTCTATGCTCTTCACTTCTGCCTCATCTGAAATCTACTAGAAGATACTCAAAGGAGATATCTGCTCCAATGCTAAGGTTCACATGTTTAACAAAAATACTTTTATCTTCCTGTAGCCTGTTATTTCTAATTGACTTAATTTCAGAGTTCAAATGCTCAAGGAAGATGACAAAAGAATGTCATGACAGTTGAGTAACATATTTAACACAGGAGGAGCTTTTTTCTAAATCTTGTCAGCAAAGGGAAATCAAAGCATCTCACGAACTTTTAAAAGATGTTTCAGATGTGAAGGAAAAACAGGACACAGAGGAAGTCCTTTTAAAAATATGTTCTGAAATTTAGGATTCGTATTTCCCTTAACATGCAGCGACATATCAGGAGGAAGAACAGCCATTCAGCCAATCTTGTTAGACTAAACATAAACATTAGAAATATCAAATGCATCCTGGCCCACGAAAAGCAGCCAGATCAAACCCGTTCCTGGTTTGCGTACACTGCCAGGCAAGCATGCTCTGCAGTGTGTCCTGCAGCCCCTATTCACTGATTGTCCAGAGTGGGAAAACAGTAAGACAACAACATGGCTTTCTCTTTGCCCATGTCCACTTTCATTTACAGTAGTGTGCTATGTCTTATCCAGGTGTAAACAATATGGCTAAGGAGTAAAACTGTAGAAAACAGCACAGACTGTGTCTTGTCTAGCAGGTTGGCACCACCACTGATTTCATTGGGAATTCTGCTCCTAAATTGGAAGCGGAGAACTAAGTGATTTAGAAGTCGCTAAAATATGAAGTCTTGGAACATTAAATCACATTGACTCACAGAGATTCTCTGTGATCTAGAAATGAGTTAAGAAAGGGAAGAACATGAGGAAAAGTATTTAATTCTGTCTCACTGTTTAACATGCCATCTTCGTCACTCTCAAAGTCATCCGAGTATTCAGCTGTTTGTTCTCTTGCTGTATGAGCAGAAATTGCTTCTTCTAGCTCATCCTGAAATGATTTCACAAATAACTTTTACACAGAAGGGAAGATTCACTTCTTCAAGTTCAGCACTAATTCCCCCCTCCCACACATACATAAATAAAACTGAGCAACAGAGATTAACTCATTTAACTGAGAACTATTGTGAAGGATAAGTAAAATACAGTGTTTTCACTCTATCATCATTCCCCCAATTTTTCTGTGGTAAAAAAAAAACCCTCTATGTATTAATTTATATTTCTTCTGAATAAGAAACGTCTTGCAGATCCCTTTTCCATTTTTGGCAATAATGACATTGTATCATCATGCCACATGTTTTCCTCCTTTTATACGTTTTAAGCGGCAAGAGTACAACAAAAAGGTCTGTACAGTCACATGTGATAGAGAAGGTGAGTAGGGACCACCTCTTCACTGCCTGTTGCACTACAAGAACCTAAAGCAAGTGGCAGGTGCAAAACAATGGACGAACTTCACATACGTCACCAGTCATACTGTCATCAAAACTGGCAGTAAAAATTCTCCAACACTTCATGTATTAAAGAGCAGGCATTACTTTATTCGGCCAGGTGCATGGGGGATCTTTCCGCCTAGCATACACACCACGCCAAATGAAAATACATATTGTATACAATAAAATA